CCCCAAAACCCCAAAACCCCAAAACCCCAAAACCCCACAAATTGTAAATTTAATTGAAAATACAAAAACCTTAATGAATGCACGAATCACCCATGAAGAGAGGAAGAGGTACAGCTCTACCTTTAGTAACCGTTCCTATAGCTCAAAAGATGGAAATAGCTCTCCTGGCATTTTCCCCTTCGTTTCAGAATGAGATAACCTCAAGCAAGAGAGCGATAGAAAAGTTGTCCAAAAGTTCTTCCTTAGCGGGATTCAGCAGTATTACAGGAAGAAGCAAGATAAATCAGTTACATTAGAGCAGGAGAAGAGCAAAGTAGTATATGTCAAAGAAACAGAACCCGAGCTGATCATCTCAGATGGGGTCTCACTCATGACTTGTAAAATAGACTTAAATACAGCCAAGGACGATGATTTCGACCTCCAGACTCTGAAAGGGAACTATATCAAGCTGAACGATTACTGATTTTCAGTCAAAATGGAGTCTATCCTTAGTGAGAACAAGGACTTTGCTAAGATATTACTAGTAATAAAGAAGTATCAACTCTTCAATGACTCCTCTCTCAAATTGACTAAGAATATCAAGCTCCAGAAGCAAGTATCAGAGAATCCTAAGGTAGAGAATTTGATAAAGTATACTAAGCATAAGCTATGCAAGAATGCTGCAGCTACTCTATCTCCTGAGGATATGACCATGCCATCAATCAGTGGTTTAATAAACAATAAGGGAGATGACTTTAACCCAGTGATTAAGATCCAGCAGAAGAATCTAAGAAAGAGTGTTGTAAAGACTCAGGGATTCCAAAATCCATCTCAAAGTGATATTGACGATATTTTCACATCACTCCCGCCATTAGATTATAGCAAGGTTTGAGAAGTTGTAAAAGAGAAAGAACTCAATGAGGAGGAGAAAGAGCTCATGAATAGCCTAGAAAAGGTCCCTGATGGTGGTGCTCTCACCAATATCTTGGTAGGGCTCTATGAAAATAACTATGATGAGTCAGAAGAAGCCATTCATTCCTCCTCCTCTCAAAAAGGCAAAGATGATATGGATATTGATCAAGAAGAACTAGAGGATGTCATAGATAGTGATAGTGATTGAGCAGACCCTCCAGCGAAGCCTAAGGAACAAGTTGACGGCTATGACTTAGACGAACTTGAAGATTGAATAGACTCAGACCCTGACTTCAATCCTAAAGGAGAGGTGGAAAAGCCAAAAGTAATCCCAAAATCAGTTTTGAAACAGCGTGAGCAAGCTCTTAAAAATTTATCAAATAGAGTCTCCCTCCACACAAAAGAGAAAAAAGATAAGTTGAAGAAAGACTTCACCTCGAACATTACAAAGAAAGAGTGGGATAAATTCAAGCAGTGGTATCAAGACCAGAGCTCACACAACTAATAAGGGTCAGATTTAAATTCAATAAAATATCTCTTCATGGGGTTTTGGGGTTTTGGGGTTTTGGGGTTTTGGGG